AACCTTTTCTGAGAGAGTTGATTTTTCTTTTAATTTAGGGAGTATTTTTAGCGAGCTGTCTTCTCTGCATCATCTCCTTCCCGGGTGTTCAGGGCAGGTAACCAGCCGTGTTCTGAGAGGTGACCCCCGCTCAGTCTCCGCGAGTCCAGATGAATTGCCCGAGTCCTGCAAACAGACGGACTGCACGGATGGGGGAGGAAGGCGTCCGAGTTGCCAGCCCTGAACTGTCGCCCTTCGCCACTGGCCCGCCGGCCCTGGCCCTGTAATCCCAGTCAGAGTCAGACTCCACATTTTGATTATAAAACTCAGGCTGGGACAGAAGGTGCTGCCAGGGATTCATTACCTTGCTTATTTTCAAACTATTCCTAACCTTTCTGTCCTGGTTGTTGTTTGACCTGAAAGATGCAGAGAACACTGCTGTCTTCTGTCATCTGTCTTTCTGCTCCACCTGCACTGGGCCAGGCCTGTGGCAGTGCCCAGTGGTCACTAGGGACAGTGCTGAGGTTACTTACTCTGAGAAGCCCTTGCACAGCCTGTCCCACAGAAAAAAGACGGCCCTTGGGGTGCCTGGTTTGGTCTGAGTCGTGGGAAAGGACCCTGGGGCATGGCACTCACATCACGGCCAGTACCTTGCAGTTCACAAAGTCAGCCAGTTTGGTTTTGTTTGCATTTTAACAGGAACCTTGAGAAGAAGAAGGCAAATTTGTTTATCTTCTAGAGGATAAAAATAGACAGGTACGGCAGCCCTGTGGCCACGCAGTTCAGATGCCGCAGTGGTGACACCGGGGCTTTATTAATCAGTAGGATGTAGCTCACTTGTTCTGTTCTTTTCCAAGAAGCCCACCCTGGAGAAGAAACCTGGGCCCAGCTACTGCACAGGAGCAGCGGATGGCTCCTGGTAAAGAGAGCTGTTCCGGAGGCTTGCGGAAGTAGATTCCAGAGAACTGAGAGAATAAGTCTGCCCCGATTCTGGGTGCACAAGGTCTTCACTGAGAGTTCCGTTTGAATTGAGAGCTCTCAGTTTTGCAAATCAGGCAGCTGTGGTCTGATAAGGTGGAGTGGAACTGTCCGCCCCCGTGGAGTCAGGGCCCCCGCCTCCTGCGTGCCTCGCACAAGCTCCCTGGTCCCTTTCTCCTCCTCCTGTTGGCCAGAGCTAGTGAGTGGCTGGAATAACTGGGCAGGACTTTCTTAGTGTTGTTCTCTATCGATAATATATTTTAATTGTTAGTGCTATACACCGGTGTCAGGGTGTTGGGGGGAGCTGGTAGCTCTTGAAAATCACCAGGTGGCAGAGGGGAAGTTACAGAAAGAACCGCTAGATGCTCAGTGCTATTCTTGTCAGATAATGCAGATTGACACCCCAACTAAAAGAAAATTCTAGGCTTTATTAAAATTGACAAATTCTTCCAAAGGCAGCAGCTAAAGGAAGACTTCGGGCAGACAGGGAGGGGAGGAGGTCGCACGCCGCAGGACTGGGGAGCCCTTTGCTCCCACCCCTCTGCTTGCTCAGCCACTGCTCAGTCCCTCTGCGGTTAGATGATTCCTTGCAGATAGCAATCAACTGGAAGGAAGTGTGTGTGTCTAATTTGCATGAGATTATTTAAAACAAAAAAAAAAAGGTCTGCATTAGTCAGGGTGATGGTAAACAACGCAAAGAGATGCCTTTTATAATATAGCCCGTGCCTCAGCTTTCAGAGCCAAATATAATTCACTTACAATTGGCAGTTTCCTTTATTATTCCTTTTTAACCTTTTGGATTCTGCAAGGTCTCAGTCTAAGATCTGCACTGTTTGTCTCGGCAGGGTTGGGAAAGATGGGGCTAGGGCACCTGAATGTCTTACATGTGGGTCCTATGGCAGCACCTTGTCCCTAAAGGCAGGGTCATCTCAGCACCACATTGTGATCTGGAGAGAGGTGGGTGACCCCCACTTAGTGTCTGTGAGTCCCAGATGCATCACCTTAGTCCTGCAGATACAGAAGCTGGTCCGTTCTGCCTAAGCTGAGGACACTCCGGAGGGAGAGGACACTCTGAAGCATAGGTGCCAGTATGTGAGAGGCATTTGGATTTGATCTAGGGTTGGGATATTAGAACAAGACCAGGAAAAGGACATCCTACCGTGTCACTCTAGTGTTCAAAAAGTTGTCCAGGTGTCATTTGCAGGTAGGAGCCAGGTGTTAAGTTCCTATGTTGTTTCAATATAGCCCCAAAACAATATTCCTTGGCTCTTGAGAATGCCTAGGGTGGGGATAGGGGAAGAAAATTTAATCCTCTAAAGCTCTTTAATAAGACTGAAGACTTCAGACATAAGTTCTGAATCTGTCATGTGATGTTTTGCAACTCTGTGGTATAGTGGAAAGTCACTGGGCCGGAGAGGGAGAGCCTTGGGTTAACATCAGCATTACCCTTCTCTAGAACAAGCAGGATGTGGGCCACTGTTTGCACTCTCCTTGGATCTCAGTTTTTTTTAATCTGTTAAATGAGGGCAATGACAGGGATAATGGCCCAGCTCTGAAATTATATTATTCAGTGAAATTGTTAGAATGCTTATTTTTTTTAAAGAAGTAAAAGGGTTCATTTATTGTAGCTAAGTCAGAATCCTGACTCTCCTAGAGAACTAGAGCTACCAGAATCCCAGCCAGTGTAAATTTGGAGCAGCAAACGATAAGGTCTCTGAAAAACACGAGATTGGAGGAAGTGCTGATGCCCTTTAAGCCGTGGCCTCACCAGTGGGCCCAGCTGCGATAATGCAAGGAACATGTTTTATTAGGAAAATAGGCTTCGTAAAAGCTCAGGGCCAGAGGGCAGAACAACAGGCAGGGAGTCCTGTCCCTTTAACCAGCTCCGGCTCTCAGGGCCGCAGCACAGCCTGTAACTTACTGTATATTTCCCCAGTGTTAAACATTATCGTACTTGTTTATATTTGAAAGAGCCAAAAGGGAAAATGAGAATGCAACTGAATGCTCCTTTTGGGAAAATTATCCTCATTTGCAGCCAGCGGCTGACAAGGCACACGAACCACCAGGACTGTGAAATTCCATAGTGTACCAGTGACCATCAGCCTGTGCTGACGCCGCAGGTGCCGCTTTCTTCTCTAATGGCTGATTATGAACTGGTTAAAACAACGTCTTTCCTGCTAGGACTCTGAAAGGGGTTCTCCCTTCCTGCTTAGTAGGAGTGGTCGTCAGTCACCACGCAGGCCAGAGCCCGAGAGGCACAAAGCCTGAGTGCCCCGTCCATTCTTCTTGGAGGCAAAATGACGGGTAAAGCAATCCCTTGGCAGCTGGAGGGTCAGGGAGGAGGAGCACACCCTGTCTTACTGTACTCTACTGAACTTTCGCTTTTCTGTTTGGAAGGTGGTAAGTGCCAGTAAATGATACACTTTGAACCCTGGAGACGTTTTCATCCGCCCACCAGTCTGTTGAGCGTAGTGCAGTCGGGGCAGCCTAGTGGCCCTTCACACTCCCAGCAGTGTGGCCTTGCCTGCCTCTGGCTAGCTCCACTGTGAGAGGAGGGGAAAGGGGGAAGAGCTGCAGTTTTAAATGGGGACAGACCTCAACTGCTCAGCACAGAGAAGGGAAAAAAGGGTCCAGGACCATTTAGGCATTCTCCCTTGATCGCTTGTGGTAGGACATGAAAAGTTTGAGGGATGGCTGTAGTCAACTCACATGCTGGTACGGTGCAGGGCAGAGCTGTGCTTTAAAGCATTAATGTGCACCATCTATTAGCCCCTAGGCACAGAGTAGGAGGCACCATGCTTTTGAAGATGCTGATCCTCAGAACCTCCTTGTACTTCATCTACCCCCAGGGGCAAATATACCATGCTGTGGGCCTCTAATGGAGAGCTGCCGACCAGATGTGGAAAAGCTCTCGGCTCTAGTTTAAAAGCTCTGTGTTGCGGCTCGACTGGATGTTGGGATTCCCGGAACAGCATGGGCCGGCTGAGTGGTCTTTTGCAGACTAGTGGTGACCTCCCACCTGCCTTTCCTACTCTCGACAGCTGGAGCGCCTCTGTACACATAGCTGCTTCCCGAGTTGGCCTGGGATAGTTCTTCTCGTACCTGCATGCCGCACTTTGTTCCTTTTCTTTGGGTTGGTCGGTGCCCTCCTCCTCCTCCTCCTCCCCAAGAGTTAATGTCCCCAGTTGGCCTCAGACCCATTGAAAATGTCCCAGCTGTGTGCCCACTGGAAATGTGGTCTTCATGGGGTTTTCACTTGCCTTTTATTCTTCCATGGGCAAATCCTCTCCACATGTTATCGCCACTGCAGATGGCGCCCTGCTATTTCCTGATGTCCCATGTGCAGTGTGGTTTAGAGTGTTGGGAGGATTAAAAAAAAGGGAAAAGAAAAACTAGCCAAAGGCGATATAGGCAGCCTATGATAGGCTAGAGTAATAATCATCTGAAAGTTTGGGCCTGGCCTTGTTTTGATCTGTTTTCTTGTTTTATTTTCTTCTTTACATTCTATATCCCATTCATACTAATCACAGTCGGTCCTGATTTTTCCTTTTATTTCTGCATTTGTCATAAAATAAAGCAAATTATTCCCGTCTTCGGAAACGATCTAGACTAATTAGTCGTCTCACCCAATAATTAGTTTTTTGTTTCCCTGTCTGTTTTCATGCATTATTGTTAGTTTTTTCCCCTCTTTTTTTAACACCATTACAGATTAAAATGAGCCACATTTGCAGTTGATGGTATCTGTTTTCGGGGGGAAGAATGGAGAATTGCAGTACGGAGCGACTTCAAAAGCAGCAATAAACTCAAGGATAAATTAAGGAAATTGAATGAGCCACATTTGGAAGCAGTGTGGAGGCTAATATTCTGTCGCTTAAGGTTAAATTGCAACTGAGAGAGGTTCCGGAGAATCCCAAATCGGGGAGGCAACTTACTAGGATGCTAGGCATTCTGTGGCTTTTGGGGTTGTTTCTCAGTGAAGATTTTGTTGCAGCCATGGACATTGGCGAAAGGTACTCACCTGCAGTTATGTTCTCTTCTCCCAGGGCTGACAGATGAGGAGATTGACTTGGCTTTCCAGCAGTCGGGCACTGCGGCCGATGAGCCTTCGTCCCTGGGCCCAGCCACCCAGGTGGTTCCCGTCCAGCCCCCTCACCTCATTTCTCAGCCATACAGTAAGTCACCCACTCAAACTCCTGCGTAACCTTGAGACTGGGATTCAGGACTCTGGCCAGAGAGCAGTGTTTTACTCTCTCAGGCTTGCCAACCGGGAGAAACTGAGAGTAGTGGAAAGCTCTTGGGTTTTTCCCAAAGAATGTGACACACCCACATCTCCTAGACTGACTTTTAACTATGTGACAAAGGTTTAAAAAGAGACAAGGGACCAGAATACATGAGTTTATTGTGTTGTTTCAAGTATTTTGGTTACATGCAAGAAACTATAAAATTATTTATTGGTTTTGTTTCCATTTTCTTATGAGTGCTTTTGAATGTTACTATTTCACTAATAACAGTGTGAATGCATTTTTATTTGTTCACTGAAATAACTTGTCTCCTAATTTTATTTTCTAAAGTTGATATTCTTAGGTTTAGGCCAGTCTTCCCATCCCCTCCCTCCCTTGTCCTGGCTATACCATGTATATTCATACAGTAGCAATCTGTTAGAGAATTTCAAGTTAAAATGTAAAAGTCCCTTCTGAATGTTACTTTTAATTATGATATGAGATCATGACCCATGAGAGGATCTTGTTGTTTTTAAATGAGAGCTACTGTAGGAATAAACTTTCTTAAAGCTAGTAATAAATGTATATCTACAAAATACAGCTAGAATCCCTTCTTTAAGTCATGTATGAAAAGTCTAAAAAGGTTAAAATTGGCTCCAAAGCTATGGGAAATAGCACAATTTTGTTTCTTTAATGTAATTCATCATTGGATCTATTATCTTTGAAAATGCCTTTTCTATAATTGTCTTCATTTTAGTTGTCTATCTCAGAAGTTTTATTTTTTCAAAGAATGATTTCAAACAGTGTTCGGTATCAGATTTTAAAGAGTTTATTTTAAAATGACAGATTCTTTTTGATCCCCCAACACATGGTCTGAAACTACCTTCTTCTTTTCCCTTCCCCTTTGTTTTCATTGGCTGTGTTGGAGCTGGGCAGGCGTGATCAACACGGTAGACAGAGCCAGCAAGGCCCACTCTTCCCTGCACGTGCAGGGGCCAGCAAGCGGTTAGAACTGCTTTGTGTGTCACAGATCTCATTTAGATATCTCCATCTTTTGCTCTCTGGATAAGGCTTGGTGGCCAGGAAGCACCCACTCCAGTGTATCTGTCCCTTGGTCATTGCTTAGTCAGCCTACTCCAGGGGAACAGAGCTTCAGCCTTGGACTGAATTTGGGCTGCTGGGTCAGGCCTGTGACTTGTCAGCTTGGATCCATTTCTCCTCCCTGGCCATCATTCCTTCCAGTCCGTAGGGTTTGCTTTGGGTCCTAAACCTACTTTACTTATTTCTTTTTAACCAAAGGCTGAGTCTCTACACTGGTTCTTTAGTTGTGTCCCTAGGCCCAGCCATGTAATGGGATTTGTTGAGGATAGGCAATGGCAGCTGGGGTGTAGAATTTTCTAAGATGCACATCTGTTCTATTCCAGCTGTTTCTTCCCATGGCTTAATACCAAACAGGTCTCTTGGCTACTTGGAAACTTCTTGCTCAGACAAATTGTTCCGGTTGGTCACAGAGTGGGCCTAAAATGCCATGCATTTGCCTCCTTTCTGAAGGCACAAAGGGTTAAACGGTTAGTCTTTCTGAAAGAGGTAAAAGAATGGGGTGGGGAGGGCAGTGCAGTCATTTAAATCACTCTCACGTCCAGATCACTCTGAGAAAAAGCATTACCCGGTGAGGTATGGAGGTAGGAGTATTTTTAAGAGTCTCCCAGCCCTAAAAATAAAATACATCTTCTTGGAGACAGACTTCTTCCTGCTTTGACACTAGTATAAAAACAATGATAATGGTAATTTTAAATACCTGAAGTTTTTAGTTGTCACCATTGAGCTTCGTTCTTCTTGTACCGTTACATTGCTCCTTTCAGCTCCGGGGGCGACTACCTCTTCACTTCTGTACTTTTGCCAAGAGGTGTCAAAACTGCTTAAAAAAAAAAAAAAGCTTGATTTTGATTAATATAGAGAAACAAGACTTTGCCTGACTGATAATAAAACTGATAAATGACATTTGAATTACTTGTAGCGGTAATTTATTACATAAAATATCTTTTATTTGACATGCGATTAGTTGCTGGAAGCATCACTCAATCTGACTAGTTTAAACATGCTCTAAAATGAACCCCAGTAAAAACCAGGGCTGTCTGCTGCTGGCGTTATGAAATATACTAATCCTGAAGTGAGGAAAAAATCTGACTTTAAATATTTAAATGATTAATTGGGTTTATATATTTTTTTACCTTTCTAGCCCCCTTAATTACAAGCAAACTCAGGGGAGTTTCTGAACTAGGTGTGCAATCTGCATGCTTATCACTGCGGCATTGTCTGCGTCCGGGAGGGATTTATGGCCTCCATTCATGTGTGTTCCTGCCGATTTTACATCTAGATCCCCGGCAGCCCATTCCTTCCCATTTCTTGGCTTTTTAAGGACATTCCATCTCTGAGCTCAAGCCTGGAAAATGGGATTCCCTGGGCCCAGCCCTGCATGCTTGTGTGACCTTGAGATGTTAGTAAATGCCCATGCCAGCAAAGAGCACACAGGGACTTATTGGAATGGTACTGGTTTGATTCCTCTGTGTTTATTAAGCACCTACTGAATGCTCAGTACTGTATCATGTGAGAGATACGAAACATAATCTTTAAGAATCTTGCCTGCTCTTTGGGAAAGATAAGATAAACCCTTAAGAAAAGAATAATATAAGACATTGTAGTTTAATGCCAAAATTAATTATACAGACAAGAAATTCTATAAGAATACAGAAAAGAGAAAAATTAATGTGGGCTGGAGAAGTCAGGGAAGGCTTTTGTGAAAGCGGTAGGAGGTTGACACCAAGGGGGAAGCGTGGTGTCACCTGGTGTGAGCATAAACTGGTGTTCTCAGGGCTTAAAAGAAAGTCGGTAGAGTTCATGAAAAGTCAGGCTGTGGATCGAGAGGAGATTTGACATTCTGTTTTCCATTTCGGTTTCTTTTTGTTTGACTTTGAACTGGGAATCAGTACGTGTATGTGCGCAGGCCTTGCAGTCGTGAGCTTGGAGTCCTGATAAGTGCTGCATTGGTTAACTCAGGCTGAGCTGTTTGGCCTCCTTTCCTTCCAGAGACAAGAAGTCAGGTAGTTATGAGATATAAGCAGGGCCGGTGTAAATTTTGTAGGATAATAATTTTTTCTGAGGCTTGAACCTCCCCCCACCCCCTGCCCCACTGTCTTTTTTTTTTTTTTTTTTGAGACAGAGTCTCGCTTTGTTGCCTAGGCTAGAGTGAGTACCGTGGCGCCAGCCTAGCTCACAGCAACCTCAGACTCCTGGGCTCAAGCAATCCTCCTGCCTCAGCCTCCCAAGTAGCTGGGACTACAGGCATGCACCACCATGCCCAGCTAATTTTTTTTCTGTATATTAGTTGGCCAATTAATTTCTTTCTATTTATAGTAGAGATGGGGTCTAGCTCTTACTCAGGCTGGTTTTGAACTGCTGACCTTGCGTGATCCGCCCGCCTCAGCCTCTCAGAGTGCTAGGATTACAGGTGTGAGCCACTGTGCCTGGCTACCCCTGATTATCTTCATTCACTGAGCAATAGTTACTGAATGCCTACTGTGTGCCAGGCACCGTGCTGGACCCCTGTGCTGGGTGAAGGTCCCCAGCTGCTCCTGTCTGGTGGGAGGGGCAGTTAAGCAAACACAGCAGGGCCTGTGAGGTGGGCCCCGGGCAAGTCTGTGGCACAGGCCAGGAAGGGGCGCTTCAGAGAGCAGATGCTCAAGTGGGTTTGAAGGGACAACTGGTTCAGTGATCAGACAGGATGGACAAGAGCGTTTCAGGCTGACGCAAAAGCACGTGGATGTGAGACTGGTGTGACGATGAGCTTAAGAAACTCTGGGTGGTTCAGTCCGGCTGCAGCACAGAGTGGGAGTGTCCGAAGAAACAGCTGGAGCAGGGTGGCTCGGTCACCCTGACAGAGGACAACTAAAGGCACAGTGATGTTTTACTTTGAAATGCATCTAATTATTTTTGAGGCCATATTACTTATTTGACCATATTTTTCTTAGACTGATATTCAAATTATTTCAATCGTCTGAGCAGATGCCACGTGGGGAGTCAGGGAAGACATCCTGGGGGCCGTTTGCCTGGGGCAGTTGTCCCCGCATCCCCGTGGCCTTCGCTGGCCAGCTCATTGCTGCTCTTCCAGTTGGGGTCAGCGTCGACTGCTCCATTCTGACTTGAACGGAGGCTCCCGTCGGCCCTCTGGGTGCCCCGCTCCCCCCGCACCACACCTAAGTGTTTATTTCAGCGTCTTCCCTATTAAACCACGAGTTCCAAGGCTTCTTTGTTTCTAATCTGATGGCCCGCGGCTCTGACTGAGCAGGTGTTCTAGCGATGCTGGTGGAATGGCTAAGCGCTGGTGGAAGCGTGGGGCTGTCGGGGAATAGCATCAGCTTGAGCGAGCTCCCCCGGTAGCTGGTCAGCGAGGCCTGCGCGGCCGGTTCCGGGCAGACTGCGGGAGAGGTAGGGGCAGGTCTTGCCTGCGTGGGATCACTGTTTAACATAGAGGGAAGCCCAGTGCTTGGGGAAGGACAGAGAAGGCTCGCCCGTGGAGCCTTGTCTGGAGGGAATGTTGAGAGCTTTCCGAGTTTAGGAACCAAGGAAACTCGAGAATGCTGGTCTCAGGCAAGGCTTTCTGGAAGGGGCAGGACTTGAACTGGATTTGAGGGTCAGTAAACTGCAGCCAAACCTACAGTAGCAAGGAGGCCTGGTGCCAGGGTGTCCTGCGTGTCAGTGATTCGGAGGTGACCACACAGAAGGCACGCGGACAGCACGTGTTCCCATCAGGAGGTAAAATAGGAAATGTCGCTCTCTGCCACCCCACTTCCATTTCTTTCTCTTTGCTGGCTTAGAGACAAATCTCATTTTTTGCTACATAAAAGTTACTGGTTTGTATATGAAGAAAATATTCTCTAATTTTGAATAAATTA